AAGCCGCATTTGGAAGCAAAGTTTATTACAGGGCTATGCGGTGGATACTCAATACTTCAGTTGTGAAACATTTGATATTCTAGGTATACACATGTGCATACCAATATGTAAAAGGCTTCAAATGAAACTAGCTAAAGTTTACAGCACCCTAAAAATATCCCATGTAAAAACTAGCAAATCGCCCTCTTTCCTACTTCCTCAATTCTTAAATGTTCCTTCTGTCCAGATTCATAGTTTGCTTTGATCCCGTCTTTCATGGAGCGTCTTTAGAGTTCAACCAGAGCCACGTAGGTAGGAGGGGTAGAGGTAGAGGTGGACAGCTCACCAGATCATGTGGGGACTTCCAAACAAAAGAGGGCGCAATTTCTGGATGTCTTCAAATTGAGTAGACAGCGGAATTGTATGGTTCTTTGTAGGGGACCTTGAATATTGTGTCTCCAGAATTTCTGTATCTTCAATTATTGCATGCTTTATGCCATGTTTTAGAAAGCAAAGCATTACCCGACCATCTTTCCTTTCTCCACCAACGACACATACTCTGCCTCTTAGGATCTCACATGGACTAGCTCAACTCATGTCATGAGCAAAGGTCAGATTGTCTCCTCCTCATTGTTATTGTTATGGGGTAATAACATAAAGAGCAGTGGACTCAGAACCAAAAAATCTGGTTCCAGTCCTGATTCTGCTGCTTACTCAGCTATGTGACCTTGGACTAGCTGCTTGCTTCAGCTTCCTTCTGGAGGTTTTAAAAAATAGACCTTAAGATTCCTTGTTTTCCTCTAGAACTGCTCTCTCTCTCATTTCCACTTCAGGTGCTGAGTGAAGAACATGGATCATCATGCCCTTTCTTGAAGGGAAAGAAATCAACCTTAGTTTCTGCTGTAAGACAGATAGATGGTTGAGTTGAGATCAAACTCCTTGTGAGGTTCTAGCCCCTCTCCCCACCTTCTGCATCTGAAATTATCATGCTATAAATGCTGTCCTTTGCAGTAGGAAACACCATGACTCCTCAGTCCCAGCCTACGGTTCAGGTTCCCAGAAGGAGATGATGGTGAGAGCCAGTACAGCAGTCAAGTTCTAAAGAGACTGAGAAATCAGGAAATCGGTGCTCAGACATCAGTCAAATATAGCCAATTAAACTCCTGATGCTCAGCACAGGACCAGAGTATATGAGAACCTTCTCCCTGGAGATGGCCCCATGGACTCCTTTCCCTGTTCACTCTGTGAAACCCAGCTACAACTCTAGGCCTCTGACCCAGGCAGTTGAAGGTAGCACCCCTCACCCCCTAGTATTGTATTCACCTTTGTATAGCCCTTAGTATGTTCCATTGTAATTTATTTTGGTGTGGGTGTCACCCCCACTAGACTTTGAGATCTTCAGAGATGATTAATCTTTGGTTCTCCAGCATGATCACAGCACCTCACATATAATAGGAGCAAAACCCATGCCTGTATCCCCATACTCACGGTTTATTGACTTTATAGACTCACAGAGAAAAGGCGTGTGTTACCATCAGCAGGGAGTCTGAAAGCTCTTACCAGAAGCTTTCTGATGGGTGTGTCTAAGTTCAGAGGCAGCATCCGGGCCTACATACCTCCCTCCCAGTTCTCCAGAATGGTTTGGCTGGACCTGCCACCCAATATTTCCAAAACTCAGAGATGGAGGAAATTACACACCAGAAGCAGGGCCAGGGTCATCCATGAATCAAAATGCTGAAACAGTTTTCACATAATGGCCTTTGGTCACCTATTCCTATCAGTCTGAGAGAAAGAAGTGTTGATCAAATAAATAATTTGTTTCGGTTGTGGAAATGTCTGTATTTTGTGGTTAGTTGTGGAATAAAGCCATTAGAAAGCTGCTTTTTTATGTAATGAGATGATCAAAAAATATATAAACTATCTGAGGGCTTTTGCATAAGTGTTCTGATAGGGAACATTGCTGAGAATGTGCAAAGTAAAAGAAATGAAGAAAAAAAAGGTTGTGGGAGAAACATGTTACTGATTCTACAAGCTCTCACAATTTAGCAAAGTGCCCCTCAGGTACTTCTGTTAGAGCCTATTTATTCTAATTTTAGACACATTTCAAATGGGTGTGGTTTTGGTTAAATGGTTTCCCAGGCCACAGTAAGTCAGAGATAGCAAATTAGATAAGAGTTGGAGGCAGGCACTCTGACACATCAAGAAGTGACAGTCGGCAGCCTGATCTAGAGTAAAAATACTGAAAAACCTATAAAAAGCAGATATAAAAACTCAAAAAGAATTTAGCGCAGATGCCAGTACTCCCAGATGACATGCATAGTGCAAAAGTGATGTTTACCGTGTTGACCCTGATTTATTGAGAATGGATAACTATGGAGAGGGTATTTATTTCTAGGACATGTGTAAGACACTTTAGAGGACACGTGTAATATTTTAGTAAGCTTTCCACTAAAAGAATGTAAGGAAAAAAAGAAAAGATAAACAATATTGGCACTTGAACATAGAAGCTTCCGTTTTCTGAATCATTGTTTCATGGGGCACAGATCATTCCCGGAAGCCAGAAAACTTGGGCATCACTGAATTCAGAATTTTAAAATATCAACTTTTTAAAAAAAACTTATAGTTTTACATTTGTTTGGAGTTTCCAGTACGGAATCACTGAACTAGTGCAAGCAACCCAATTATAAGACAAATGTCCAACTCCTTTCTCAGAGCCCATTTTTAAAGTACACGCTGAACATGTTTTACAGTATAAATCTCATCCTGTCACAGGAAATGTGTGATAATTTTCTGTGTAAATCTTCTAGTAAATTCTATGAAAAACTAGGACTTCTACTGGACGTTAGCCTACACTGTATATCCATTTTGAGCTGATGTAAAGCAACACAGAACAATGGGTATTGATCTGAGATTAAGAATTTTTGTTTAATGAAAAACATCAGATTGCCATCTGAAGTAAAAGACTATTATCACAATGGTACAGCCAGCTTTTGGCATTATAATGGCCTTGATTGGTTCATGAGGGCTCTGTTCATTTCTATCTAAAGGCCTTAGTATGTTTGCCCAGCCTTGTCTTCTAAGGATCTCAGAACTGGCAATCACCTTCCATGGAGAGCTTCAAAATTGACCTGTGACATATTCAGAAATAGGCTGAGGCTTCTTTTACAAATCTCAGATGATGAGCAATAACCAGACTTATGGCCTGCATGGCCAATAACAGAACTAAATGAAAAATAGTTTTCACAATGATAGGAACTAAAACTCCAGTCATACTTTAAATAGCTATTAAAAATGTAGTTTCTAGTGCCTTAGCTCTTTGTGCAGATAAGGCCGCTTATCAACTCAATATAACATTTGCTGAGAAATGTATGTATGCAAAATCAAGTGGCATAATCCTACGCGTATACTATATGTATAAAAGTAGCATTAACCCACGATTCACATTTGTTTTAAGTTGAAAAACCACATATATTACAACACATTTTGGTTAAAATTTCACCACTGCAGGTATAGGACCATCCTTAGTGAATCATTACTGGAGTCATTACTCCAGTGTTTTAATTTATGACATAATCAATTACCAAAATAATTTTCAGACGCCACATAGAAAATATTATTTTGCAGTTCTGTTCTCACTAACTTTATCTTATTACTATGCAAGTATATAGGCTTTTGGACTAAATAGCTGACCTGTAAAATCTGGCCCAATCCTAAGATTTTTTACTTCATTATACCAAAATTATACAAATGTTAAACATCTATTGTTCTCTGATTTACTTTGAATCTTTTTTGGTTGTGAAACTAGTATTATTACAATATAGCATTAAAATGTAGCTCAAAATATTTAAGATACTACTTTTTCCCATTATTCTGATTTAGACAATATTTTTCTAAGTTCAGTAAATTACAATGCTCAAAAGTCCTACATAGTTTTCTAATGGTAATTTTTATTTCCTTTGTTCTTGTGCTTTATTTATGACGCTTCACGAATGCTGCCCAATCAAATTCAGCTTATGTGGTTGAAGATGCTGCAGTGAGAGGTAGTTTACTGACAGGGGGATGCAGTAGATTTGGCGTTTTGTGCTGGCTCCGGGTAGCTGTTTATCTGATGTTAGGAGGATATATGATATCTCTGGGCTTCATGTTATAAAATGCAGGGGGCTGGACAAACTGATCTCTGAGGTTCCTTTGGCTCCACATTCTAGGACTTGTAGTTTGGTTGAGGTAAGTCAGCAGAGGGAGCACTTTTTCTACGTCTCATAAATTTTGACCATTATTTCAACACCTTTCAAAAATCAAGGGGTTTGTGAAGAACGTTATTGAAACTAAAAATTGACAGTCCTTCACATATCAGATCACAAATTTGGTTATGAATCTGAGAAAAGTCTACAATTATTTCTTTTCCTTGAATTCCATGATTAAGTCCCACAAGAGAATTCTTTTTTATAAAGGTTAAAGAGCTAAAAATATAAGAAGTTAAGCACCCCTAAGTGGCAGTGTATTTATACTGGACCCAGTGAAGGAGAAATGCCAGACCATACAAAAGTCTATCTGGAGTCAAGATGAGAAGTGAAAAATTCATCAGTCAAAAACATTAGTAAATTTGGTCTAACATAAACAGACCACGCAAGTGATTGGTAGGTTTTTCTTTTGCACTTTTCATTGAGATACATTGGAAACAAGTAGGTAGACACAGCCAGAGCTTGGAGGCTTGTAAGAAATTGGAAACGTGTGATATCAAGCCAATGACAAATAAAGTACATCTGAGAACGTTAATAACTTTCATCCCTAAGTTCATAGATACCTTAAAACTAATTGAGCATTATGTCTTTTTAATTAGTAGACAATATCGTATCGTATATTAAAGTTTTTATTCCTTAGTAAGAATTTTAAAATCACAAAATAGTGTGGCAATATTTAGGTAATAGAATTTATGGAGAGCTGAAAATACCAGAATATAAAGATAATTTCTCATTTATCTTCACATACTAAAATTTTCTAAACCAGCTGGTTTCTTGCAGATGGTATTTATTTATTTTTTTTTAATAATTTAAGACAGCATAAGCTTGTACCAAGCATAAGCATTGTAACAAAAGTGCAACTTTTCAGCAAATCCTCCCCAAAAGATATTTTAACTCAAAATATCATTAGCACATAGTCTCTCCCTACAAAAATAGCATGTCAGACATCATTAATCGGATGTATTAACAACTATGTACATAAGAGCCACCTTGTAGGCTACGATTTAACGTTGTTTAAACACAGCGTTTGAGGCAAACAAAGCAACAGCAGCGGCAAATGCACCAAACTGACTAAAAGACCCAGATATTTTCTTCGCTTATAGTCAGACTGTTGTGTCTCACCCCTTACATAACATTCAAGTGAGATTTCTCACAGTGCTACCTTGGCAACAAACTAAAAATATCTAGACAAGGTCTTGGTTTAAGCCTTATTAAAAAAGCTTTCTTTGTGATTATCTGGTATCTGGTTTGGTCTCCAGAAAATACATAGACTTGGAGATAGGAAGGCCTCACAGGGCTTCATTCCACATCTTTACAGCTTTTCCAATCAAAACTGACCAGTTTAATGCTTTCCTCCCCTTTTGTTATTTAACAGAATATAGGATAAATCATTTTGGATTTGTTTTGTTTTTAAGTTCAGTGCACATTCCTTTTTTACAGCAAGATTATAAAAATTTAGGAATATGGTGAATTAAATAATGACAAGGTGGGAATAGATGTACTATAGATGTGTGTGTGTGTGTATATATATATATATATATGAATGAAATTAAGACACGTCAATTGATTCACGGTCAATTTCTCCATAAAGTGCTAGTAAGTGTACCAAGAATGATTCTGGCCTTCCTCATCCATCTCCTTCCCTGACTCAGTTCTGACAACGGCCCAACTCCGAGTCTCTTTAAACAAGAGCAAGTTACTAAGGGATACCATTCAAACCACTTCAGAATAGGTTGCAACGTAAGTGACTGCATTTTCACTTCTTCCTCTTTGAAAAATATATGCCTTTAAAAAAAGCTGAACATTATAAAATACTGAAGAGTAAATTCAATTCTAAAAGATCCTCATTCTGGTTGTGGAAAGCCTCCTGAAGCCGGTGGGACAGCTCTGCGGCAGGCAGATAATAACTACCAGCCGGCTGTTGGACGTCAACTCCTGGGCCACCTTTCCCCTACCTTGGTTCAATCAGCTCACCCACAGAGCAGACCCTTCTTCCTCCAGAATTAGGTTCTGTATTTTAAAAGATAATGGAACATGGCCTAAAGGAAGGCAAAACTTATTTGGGCGAATTCTTTAAAGAAGAAAGTATCAATATCGCAGAGATTCTTTTAGAGCTGGTGGGGGAAGAAAGGGACGTTAGTGTGCGGAGGGTGGGGTGGTGAGGGATGAGCAAAACAGGAACTCCAAATGTACACGAAACACCTGTGTTGTTTTAAAAGCCTGTCGTGCATCTATTACACTTCCTCCCTTAAAAACGTTAAGGGTGTTTTAACTTATTAATATTATTATTCCGCGTGAACCCTCGTCCTGTCTAAGAAAGGAGGCGAGGATTCAGTGGGTTTCCTTTCCTGGCTGCGAGGGATCTTCCTGAGCAGAGCTCTCCGGGTTCCCGGGCTCGCGGGCGCCGGCGAAGGACAGGTGGGTGCGGCCGTGCGGGTGCGGGGGGTGCAGCGCCCCAGGGGGCGCCACCTCGTGCGGCAAGAGGGTCGCGGCGGCGGCGCTGGCCTTCTCGGGAGGGGGCGACAACACCGAGGACAGGCAGGGGAAGGCAGCGGCGGCGGCGGCTGCGGCGGCGGCTGCGGCGGCGGCTGCCGGCGCGGGGATGCCGGGGTACAGCAGTGGGAACGGGGCGGCGGCCGCCGCCGGGTACAGGTACTTCTCCAGGCCGCTCTTGTCCAGGAAAGGCTGCACGTAGGCGGCGGCCGCCGAAGGCGAGAGGAAGTAGAAGGGCAGGCAGAAGGGGGCCGCGGCAGCCGCGGCGGCGGCGGGCTGCGCGAAGGGCGCGCCCCCGCCTCCGCCGAACGCCACCAGCGAGCTGAGCAGGGCCGCGTCGGGTCTCAGCAGCGCTGCCGCGGCGGCCGGGTCCGGCCCCAGGAGCGCGGCCGCCGCCGCCGCCGCGCCGCCCCCCAGGCCGCCGCCGCCGCCGCGGGAATCCAGCTTCATCCTCTTGGGCGCCGGCGAGTCCTCCCCGGGGGGCTCCTGCTTGATGGTGACGCGGCCCGTCCCGGAGCCTTTGCCCTTCTCGCGGTCCGGCCTCGCCTCGGCCTCGCCGCCGTAGCCGCTGTCGGTGTCCGTGTCGTTCTCGGCGGCGAGCTCGGCGCTGGGCTGAGTCCGCTGGATGACCGGCACGCAGTGGGCGAGGGGCTCAAGCTTCTGCCCGGCGCGCTCCAGGCAGGGGGCGGCCGCGGACCCTGTGGGGGCAGCGGCCGAGGGCGCGCCGGTGCCTTTACTCAGAGGGACCTGTTGAGTCAACAGCTGGGGGGTGGGCAAGAACTGGGTGGCCACGGCGTGCAAGTGGTTGATCAGCTGGACACACCGCTGCTCTCTGGGCGTCCAGCTCTCAAACCGGGAGAGGTATTGCAAGACTTCTTTGGCGCATGTTTGAAATCCCGAGTGGAACGCATCCAAGTCGGACTGAATGGGCGATTTCAGAGATCGCTCCCCTAGGATGAGGAAGGGGGTGGGGGCAGAGGAATGGAGGCAAGAAGAAAAATACCGACGTTAAAACATCTGCTTATCACGTGGGCCCTACATTGACTAAAGTGATCTCGGTTTTTCCTCTGTATTCCGGTGATATAATCCACCGGTTGCCGGGGGGTGGGGGGGGTGGTGGTGGCGGGGGTGGGGAGCAGGGGGGCGCTCTACTCCCAGCTGAAAAACCAAAGTGGAGAGCGCAACCGCCACTTTAAATAAAAATCTGATTCCTCTGAGTTCTGCTGAAAGCCTCTGGGATGCTTCGGGAAATGGGCACTTTCCAATGAAGGGAAAGTATAAGCAATTTAACAAATAAGAGTGAGCCCGTGGGCCCAAGGAAGGAGATGGGGGTGGGGGCAGAGTCCTAAACACTGCCCCTCTGTGGGCTGCCCGGCTTCATCAGGGTGGGTTGGCCTCCCTGAATTGACTTACCATTCTGTAAAGCAATTATCTTCTGATGCTGCTGCTCGGTTAAGGCTGTTAAAGCTTTTAAGTGTTTCAAAGTTAATTCCAAGACTACCGCTTTCTCCAGATGCCCCAGAGTCTGCAGTGGTGCAAAAGAGAAGGGGGCACTTGGTTACTTAAAAAACACACATTTGGCTTGATTGGCTCTCCACTCAGCACAGCAACTTAAGCAAACACTTTGAAAGAAGTACTATTCCTATACTTCTTGAGCTTTCCAGAAGACGGGTTATACGTGATTTCTTGCCTTCAGTTGTGAGCACCTACTCTTGAGTTTGTGGGAAACTCTACACTACAGCACAAGTTGTAAGGCATATGATATTTACATTTATTCTTATATCTCTGGGAGTAGTACCAAGCTATTAACACGCCCTTGGAGAGCAGCAAAGAATGAAAATGTGCATCTTACTGTCAACTTCAGATGTTCAGGCAGTAAATCTTTCAGCTGAGCAATGCATTCATTAATTCGATCTCTTCTTTTCTTTTCTATTAATCTGTGCGGTAATTTGTAGGTATCCTTAATATACGACAATCATGGAAGAAAGAAAACAATAAGCTACACATTTATTGGATAAATCCATAACCCCCTCAGAAAACCCCCCCATATTATGTGATAAACTATGCCCAAGAAACCTTTTCCTCTGTACTGTTCTGAAATGCAATTTGAATTCAGGTGTGATGTTTAATCTCCCCCTGAGAGTATCCAGCAAACCACTTAAAATTCACAGTTGGGGAAGCTCAAGGGCTGGAATATATTTGCGGGCAGAGCTTCGCTGTGAAATCAATGACCCTAATTAACTATCCAGGCAGGTTATGGGGAACATCGGAAACTTACACTTACCTTGCTATCGTCTCGCTTCATGCTCCTTTTGGGCTTACACATATACAAAGAGGAATAGTCCAGTCTGCAAAACAGAAATCAGCATCAGGCACCCATTCGGGGAGGGGCACTGCCCTTGCCCGCTCCATACCACTTTCTGGAGAAGAAAAAAAAATCACTCTGAAGCCTAGACAGATATTCGCAAGGGTGCGTGCACCTTACCCTATAAAATCTCTATGTTCCAGTAACTGTCTCTCTTGCAAATGAGGAATTCCTTCGTCCATGTTCAACCGCTGTCCGTTTCCTCTGTTTCGATTTTTGGGGTTCTGTTCTATAATCTGTGGGACGATAGCTTTGGGAGATCTTGGGGGGATCTGAGCGTCTCCAGTCTCTCTCTCTCTCTCTCCCTTCTTCAGTGCAGTGTTGAAAGTGTGAAGCAGTTGGTTCCCCCCCTCCCACCGCGCTCGCTCTCTCGCACACACGCACACACACGCACGCACACTCGCGCCGGCCCCACTGCGCTGGTAGTTTGCTCTCACTCCGGGCAGTGTTTGGCCACAGGGCACGCGCGTCGCCGGCCAGACCAGCACCCAGCTCACGTGCGGAACGTACCATCCGCGGTCCAGCCCGGAGGGGGGCGGGGGAGGAGGGGCCGGGCCAGGAGGGGGTGTCGGGAGCAGGCTGTGAGGGAAGGCGCAAGGCAGGAGGGGGCGGGGACACCTGATCAGGGCCACCGGAAAGGAAAAACAACTTCGGCCAAGCTATTCATCTTCCCAAAGGCGTTGCAGTCAGCTGGGGGAGGGGGAGGAGGCGCCGGGGGTGCGGGGCAGCCCGGGCTTTCTCGGCTCGGAAATGCTACTCCCTCAGTTCGTCCGTCATTACGGTGCAGGAACGTGAACGTGGCTTTTTGCTTCGCCACCGACTGCACTGGTGGTTTGGACCAGAGAAAGGAAAGAGAGAATTAACGGTGGGTAAACTTCAGTCCCGAAGGAAAATTTGGAGACTTGTTTGCTCACCGCTCAGTGGCCTGGGGGGACCCCTTGGCCCCGGTTGGAGGTTGCCCCTTAATGGGGCGACTTGAAATCCGCTCCCTGAAGGATTTAAAATAAATGAAAATGTAGTCACTGGGTCAGAATGTCGCAATCCAAGTGTCTTTCGGCGACACGGTGTCCCTGAGCCACCCAAACTTCCCGCAGCAGCCGGAATTGCGGTGCCACTAATCACAGAAACAGATGACGACGACTGGGGCCTCTGGTGCTCCCAGAGGAACGCGGCGAGAGGGAGGGGGTAGGAGGGGGTGACACAAGAGGGGCTACCGCGGAAAAGCAATGCAGCATTATCACTCGCCAGCTAAACTCCGTCGCCCCTCATCGCCTCGGGTGCTGCTGCGTTGTTCTCTCCCCCAACCCCCCCCACCCCCCCGCGGTGTGATAAGCGACGCCGGGAGTGTGCAGAGCCCACGTTTACTACCGCTGGCACCTCCAAAGCCTCCCTCCTTAATCCTGTCTCAAACGGGTACCAGCACAGGGCCAGCAACGTGATCCGACCTGCCGCTGCTGCCACATCACTGCGCGGGGAACCCGTGCGCGCGCGCGCTCGCCCTGTAGCAGCGGCGCTCGGCGCGGGGAAGCGCAAGCCAGCACGAGCCGGCTTATCTTTCCCCAGAGCCATCCCGGGAGCATGACTCACTGCTAGCGAGAGTTACCAAGAGGTGCCCAGAGATGCGCACTGCCCACGCCGCCCGGCGCAGCGGGCGACAGGAGCCTTGGAGGCCGGGGTGGGGGTAGGTGGGGGGGGGTAAATCTCGTCCTGCGGGACTCCCAGGGCTCCCGCCTTGGGGTTGCCGCCACTCGGCTCTGCTGGGGGAGGAAAGGAGAGAATATATGTTGATTCTTATATAAGTAGATAGATATAAAAATCAGAGGTTTTTTCTTCCTGCAGCAAGAGTAAGTTTCAATTCTCCTGGGTTATCCCCGAAACCTTCCTTATTGCCAGCGGCGCATGAGCCAAGGGGAGAAGTACGCCGAGGGAACACGCACAGGGGCTCAGCAGGGACTGGGGCCGTCGCTACGTGTCCCCGCTACCCCCACCCCGGCCCGCCCCGCACAGCGCGGGTTCCGGGGACGGATCTGGGTCGCGGGAAGCGGCGGCTGGGAGGAGGTCACGTGTCTGCGGGAGTCGCGTCTCCTCCCAGCCTCCAGGAGCCGCCCGGGCCGCGGCCGCGGCGCGCGCTGCTGCAGTCTCCCGAGTCCTGGGCGGAGACGCGCCGCGTCTGGCTTCGTGACTCCCGCTGCGGCGGCGGCGGCGGCGGCTGCCCAGCTCACCCCGGCAAGAGGAGACGCTCGCGGTCCGTCCACTTCGTCTCGGGAGAGGGCCCTGGAAGGTCTCTCGACTTCCTCAAATACGGGGACGTAGTTTGCACCAAACAGGCCCTTTAGGGATAATACTTAGAAGAAGTAATTTTAAAATACTGATTTCATTTTAAACCTCTATTCAACCTCTCTCTAGTTTCCAAGTCATTGGGTGGTTAATTCTCTTTAGTGGGGAGGGCACTTTGATGCCCTACAAGCGGCATATGCCTGCAGTACTCTCTGCTTCTTCTAAACTGACCCAAAAAGAGGGGGAGGAGGGGGATGCCTTTAAGGTGAAATCTCCCCTTACAGGTTTGTGAATGTTCGAAGTAGGACGAGGGTATAAGTGTTTGCTCCACAGCTAAATGTTCCCTTGAAAAGGATAGATAGAATATTTAGTGAAAAGAAGAAGGTCTGATCACTTCCTCTTGGTCTTGTCGGTAGAGCAGACGAGACACAAGGGAGACATCTGACTAGGGCCAACCTTAGGGCCTAATTCTGGGGCCAACTCTAAAGCAGTTTAGAAGAGGAGGAAAAGGGAAGGAAGACCAGTGGATCCTGGGTGTGTTACTGTCGGATGCACACTTCTCGTCTTTGGAAGACAGAGAGGCCTGTGGCTGCGAAAGAAGCCTTTTGTGTTATTGCTTGGATCTCGTCATTCTATCCCAAGCTTCCCTACCATGCCCGACGCTGGTGTTTTCTCTTCCAGTCCTTTCTCTTTCTGACGCCCAGCGCACACTGCGGATGCAGTCGTTTCTGATTTTTTGGTTTCCTTTGTGATTCGCAGACCTCCTTTTCTTCTGTCTTTACTTTCCATGCCCATCTTTTTACTCATTTTTCTTTTTCTTTTCTCCTTTTCCCTTATGTTTTCCTCTTTCTACCTGTGCCCCATGAAGGGTCTGCTTTTGCTCTTCCTCTTTCGTTTTTACTTTTATCCTTCTTTGCTTTTTGTCTTTTTTCTTTCATCATTCACCTGGATAACTCTTCTTGCTTATCCACTTCCTTTAAAACCCGAGTGCTACTCCTTTTCTTAAACTCTTGCTTTCTGGAATATCGGGCATAGTTTAATGCTTTCTAATGTCCTTTTGCCGCAAGGAGGGTATGACAACAGCTAACAATTATATAGCAATTGCAATCAGAGAACCAGATGACCACTTTAGGGGCTTTTTTGGTATGAACTCATTAATCTTTTCCACAACCTTAGGAGGTAGATCCCATTATTGCCTCCATTCTACAGATGACAAAATATGTAGGGAGATAGAAATAAATGTGCCTATGCTCCCAGAGCCAGGATTTAAGCACAGACAGTGGGCTCCAGAGTCTGTGCTCTTAACTATTAATACCCCTTGGTGGGGTCATAGGGCCAAGGTCTGAATGTTAAGTAGCTGTGTTTTAAAAACACAGGTGTTTTAAGCAATTCACCAGTGTCAGTGTGCACCTTTGTTGTAGTGTGTATGTGTGTGTGGGGGGCATTGTTGGAAGAGAGGTGGGAAAGGGAGAGATGTTAGTATTGGAATAGATGGCAGAGAAAGGTATGAGAGAAAGAATGGGGCAGTCTTTTGTCAGTCAGTGATTCCATTGGCATCTAGCTCCAAATTTATTGATTTAAACCCAAATCTCCTAATTAATTGTTATAATTTCATACAGATGGACACATGGAAGTACAGTGTAGAAAAGGCTAACGTTGACCAGCTGTTCACCATTTCCACTGAGCAAACGAAGCCGAACTCTAATGTGAAGACTTCAGGTTAGTAATAGCAAAAGTTCACCTGTGGTGAGGTTAGAAAAAGGGGGGAAAAACCTCCCCTGTCTAACAGGAACAGAAGACTAGAATGCACTCTTTGGGTATGTTTAAAAATAGGTTGAGTCTTATCTTTTTAGGAAGGTTTAATGCTCTCCTGCTGAAAGTGAAGGAGATACAACATGAGCTTGAAACCCCTTTGAGCCTATAATTAGAGAATTTTGTGATGGCTTGCTTTCAATTAAAGATACCCATCTTTCTCCTTTTAATAGGTGAGGGGGAAACCGCTTCCATTTCTTTTCTTTGGTTAAGTAGGGAAATCACTACCTATAGAGACGCTAATGAAAAGGAACACTTATCCCAGTTCCCACCCCTCCCCCCACCCCCACGTAAGTATTCTGAGCGCTACGCTCATTATATTCACCTTGTGACTTTGGAAGGTCTTATCCTGTTTGCTTGCAAAGTCTTGGATTTCCAGCAGAAACTGAACTCTCCTGAGAGGATTAAAGTTTCCATAGAGAAGAGAGGTTTTCTGCCTCTAGGGTTCTGCAAGCCGTACGTACCACTCTCGGGGGAGGTGACTAGGGTGTTTTGGGATTCCCAGTCCGATTCAAACTAAGCGCACATCTCTAATAGCCTTAAAGACCCCAGAGCTGCCCGAGGGCGTGACTCTTCTTGCCTGTACTGCTGTGAAAATACCCTGTTAGAGGGGCAGATGTCTTTCTTAATCACCTCTGTTTTGGGTGGTGGACAGAAAATTTACGGTTACTCCTCATCGTTTTACATCAAAAAGGGAAAGGTATCCCACGAAGCAGAGTTCATAAAAATCTGAAGGAAAAAGTTGACGGTTAATGCTAAAATGAAGGCGGCGGGGGTGGGGGGGGTGGGGTCGGAGGTAGAGTGGGATGATAGATTAGGGGTAAGTTAAAGCGTCCCCTGGAGTCCTTTCTCTGGGCATGCACACTGCTCTCCGCAGAGAAGAGTTAGTGCTGTCAGGCACAGCACAGAAAGAAGGCCACCTCATACAAGGATCTCAGAAGGGAGGGAAGCCCCAGGGCTACTCCCCAGAAGCCAGATATAACTTCTAAATATTGATAATGCTATTTTGTGAAGGTACCAGATTTAAAATCCCAGAATAGAAGGTTGGGTTTTGCAGTTCCATACTCAGCAAATTAGCAGGAATAGCACAAGTGTCTCTGTTTAATTTGTAAAAGAACTGAAGTCTTTCTGTAGACTACCAATTAATGTGTCTGTGGTTATAAACATACACATGAATCACATTTTATATTTATGTTAACACTGCTCAGGAAGTTTACGCACTTACTTGTCTTTACATAGCACCAAGGAGCAGGTAAGAGGAAGTAGAGGAAATTAATTTTATCACTGCTGAAACCTTTGTGTTTTTGTATTTATATGATTATCACAAACACTCATGGAGGTTATCCTGAATTTAAT